AATTATTCAAATTTAGTCAAATAGTCGGACTTAAATTTTTGCAATCAAAAAATTTACAAATTCAAGTTTGAATAATGATATATATATAATTTTGAAAAAATTAAGTTTAAGACATACTTATATTGAAGATTAGAAATACGAATTTAGATTTCAAATTTGCATTATTTTTTCGAAATTTTTGTATCTATTTTTCACAAAAATTTTGAGATTTATTAAAATGTATTCAATTATTCAAGTTTTAAACATTTTTGGAAATATTTTGATAACACAAAGTTACAAAATTTTAATTTTTAGTATGTTTTTTTTTTGCAATTATAAATTCATAACAAAAAAAGCCACATTTTTAAATTATAAGGTTTTCGAAATATTTATTTTCGAAATTGCAAATTTGAATTTAGCTTTACCCAAATTTTAAACTGTTTCATTATTTTTGAATTTTTTCTGAAATATTTCACAATTATTTTTGACAAAAATTTTGAGCCGTATTAAAATTTATTTGGATATTCAAAATTTAATATTTTTAAAATATTTTGAAAACAATAAACGTTTTTGAATTACAAATTCAAATTTGAATAACGTAAAGTTTTTAAATGTTTAAAATATAGAGTTTTCGAAATATTTGTTTTCGAAATTTCGATTTATTTTATTGATATGCAGTTTCGAAAATTGTGTATTTTTAAAAAAGTTTAATTTGGATTGTTTTCGAAATTTTAAGACATGTTTTCAAATATTGAAATTTTATAGAAATTTCTAACTTAAAAACAATATTCAAAACTGTTTATAGAAATATAATATCTAAAGCAACAAAAATTTAAGGCCTTAAGCCTTCATAATATTTTCAGACATCATCAATATTTTCAGATAGCTTCCACCATCCTTTGTGCTAAGCATTAGAAAAGCACTTGAAAACAGCAAATACATTTATTTAAGGCATTATCAAAGATACAACCTTGAAACCATGGATTGCGTTGAGTATATCAAAATTTATACCACTAAAAAGAACATAGCGCCGACACAAGATTAAAGCCACCAAAAAAATGTTTGCCTATATTTGAGCGCAGGAACAAGATTGTAACCACCAAGCAAAATACATTGTCTACATTTGAGCGCAGATATAAAGTTTATATGATTCTATATCAAGACTAAATTCTAAAAATCGTTTAAAGAGTATATCAATCCATCGATATTCATAAAAGCTGCCTAAAAATAKGCAAAGAAACCTTTTTTTTCTAACAATAAACCAAACAATGGATGTTAAGTTGAATTAATACATATATTTTTTTATTTTTTCAAAATCAATCTATGTTCGAAGTTAAAAACACATTGATTCTAAATATTTCTTAGATTTTTGTCCGCATTAAAACTTAAAATCCCTACAAGAAATGTCTTTCCTATCGCCATCCCTGCGGTTAGAGAATCTGTCAAACGAACCCATAATGACACTCGATCATATACCGGAAGAGAAACGTTACAACAAAAACAATATTGTGGCCAAATGGTGTGCGCCGATCAATGGCAAAATGTACAGGATCGAATTGGAGCATGGAACCACCACAGGACGACGCATGATATGGGTTAACGGGAAGGTAAGTACAAAACGAAGATAAAATATAAATTAGAAACAAATATATATCCGAAAGTTTATGAAAGAGAAAATACATTACTTTTACTTTACTTTCACAATATATTTGCAGGAAGTCCTGCGTCGTGACTGGATGTTCAAATTGGTGGGCGAAGATTCATTTTATATCGATCAAGCGCGTTGCATTATACGTGTSGATCCAGCACCAGGTTTCAGATACGAATATTCGCTCTACATCGATGGCAAACCGCACGAACAGTATACCGACGAACTGACGAAGCATTATCGCTTGTGGTTGGTCAGCATAGMAGACAATGAGTACCGCATAATGTTAGAATTGGATACGCTCAACTTGTATGTGAATGATCAGTTGCGCGCCGAAACGGTGAGTGTCTCTAACTCGTAATTGAAGTGTTTTTTTATACCGAAAAATAATTTATTTGCACTCTCAAGGGGGAATTCGTCGATGGCGGCACGGACACCAAGTTTACGGAGAATGGCAATGARTTTGTGCTGCAAGCACGTTCGAGTGGCAATAAATTGGATGGCTTAACGCACACTCTGCTGGCGAATGGTGAGGTCATACCGGAGGCTAAGATCATAGAAGTCATGCAGGAGCCCTTCTCGATTTTATCATCCACTTAATGTATGAACGGTTTGTGGCCGCTGTGAGTTGTTGTTTAAGTATAAATAAAGTGATGTGATAGCGTAGTGCTMGTTTTGTGCTAAACATTTTATGAGTTTTAATGAAAATAAAATGATTGAAATAAATGATAATTGAATACTCGAAAAAGAATAATTGAAGAAATGGAATCGCTACTTTTGTTCATAATTATGTTGCTGAGTACGAATTTTTATAAGGTTGAGTCCGAGAAAAGTTTGATAAATCTGTCATAGCCCATTAAACAACAACACCACTTTTGTAGTGTAGTACGATTTGTCTTTTGCTTYAAAATAGACCTWARTTTCGGCRATCWTATCTYCATGCGACGAAAACCTCTTCCCATMGAGCGTTCGCTKGAGATCTGAGAACAGAAAATTRTAGRTGGGSGCCAGATCGGGAAAATACTGTGGATATAGGATGCGAAAGCAATTTGAAGCCCAATTCTTACATTTTCTCAACGTTTTCTCTGACTTGTGACACCGTACGATGTCTTGGTGAAACACCACTTTCTTATTCTTCAAATGCGGCCGTTTTTCGGCGATTTCTTACTTCAAAYGGCCAAAGATGTCGTTATTGATGGTCCTTCCTTTTTCAAGGGAGTCAATTTTACCCTGYTCATCCCAAAATACGTACGCCATAACTTTGTCAGTCGACTGCTACGGTTTTCCACGCTTTGGAGCGAGTTTRTCATATGCAGTCCACTCGAATGACTGTCRATTGAACTTCGGAGTAAAATGATGGCACCATGTTTCATCCATTAGCACATATCGGGACAAAAACTCGGGTTTATTACGTTTGAACATSTCCAAACACTACTCCGAATCATCAACTCGTCGTTGTTTTGGGAGTGAAATGTTAGTTCGGGCGGTACACACTTTGAATAGAGCTTTCTCATACCCAAATGTTCGTGAATCATTATATCTTTAGAGTGTCTGTTATCTCGAACAACTCCATTTTTACGACATTATTTTGTGGACTRTTTTCGTTATTGACAATCTCTTTTGGGCTAACTAAAAATTWTATGGATTTATTTTTCCATCTGTGTKTCAGATCGGAGTCTTTTCAACTGGCCTGTTATGTCTATCAGTCCGAGCGTATGCTTACCTGTCTTCATTAAGAACGAACGACCACACAAAGCAGATCTAGAAAARGAAGCTAATTCTTTGTGAATACCCTTTCTAACGAGTTGCTCAACAGTATAGCGTTTGCTCTTCAAAATCTTAGTCAAAGCTCTGCTTTTATAAAAACTMCCTATACAGAATCGCATCTGAGTCCAAAAATATTTATTCTGACTACTCAAATCTTAGCTTTCGTTGATTTGATTTTTATTTTGGTATCCAAAGCCGACTTAGGTAATCATACTTTTTTACAAAGGCTGTCGCGTTTCGAATCTGTTGTGAGATCCTTTTAGTCCAGGCTAGCACGCCGGAGATGTACTAAACAAGGCAAATTTCAACTTTACGCAGTCGTAAGGGTTCTTACTGAACACTGCCCTATGGCATTCATGCGGTAAGGCTGAGAATCTTTCCGGACGTCGTAGTTGTCAAATTATTATGAAGGAGTATGAGGTGAAAATATCTTCCTTCGTCCAGCCTTCGAGAGACTGAGGATGAAACATCTCGATAATCTTACCTTCGGCGAACTAGAAGACACAGCCGACACTGACATTAGTGGTATCAATAACCTTACGATAGGTTGACTTGTAAAGCTCTTTTGATCCAATGTATAGAAATTTATCAGAACAGACCTGCGTTCTAAGCTGTCCAAGTGAGACCCTAAAAGCACCTCTTAACCTAACTATCGGCTCAACAGTTATTAGGAGACTCTGCACCATTAAAAGGATCTCATGATATTTGGCAGTCCAAATGAGATCCCCGTTAGGATCGACTTCTTAACCTAACTAACACCTCAACAGCATCTCCCAAGGCAGAAAAGTCTCAAGATATTCGGATCTTTGCAAACAGATTGGATTGTCAACACATAAAAAAAAATCTAAAACTACCATACTTGTTATACTTTCACAACAACAACATCGAAATTGTGCGCGGCGGGCCATATAATGGCCTGTAGCCCAGAGCTATAAGAAAGATACTAAAAAGAATGACGCCCAAAAACTTTCTGTGGTTCCAGCTTTTCCTGCAGTCMCTTTAAGTATCAAATTATTAAGCAAAACTTCAAGCTTTTTTAAAGCTTTTAAAAATATGTTTTTCAAGGATTGGAAGATCTTTTTTAAAAGAATTYATAAAAGGCTTAACCTGTAAAAGCTTTATTTTTCAAGATATGGTTTTGAAAACTTTCCAAACATAACATATTGTATGAAAGCTTAATTTTTTCAAAGATCTGGAAATTTTTTTAAAAGCTTCCAAAAAATCTTAACGTATAAAGTTTCATAAACGGCTCATTAGAGCGCATTTTACTAAGAATGGTTTCCTTTCTTAATTAACTAGAAGATACTACAAAGAATGGTGCCCTGAAGCTTTCAAATCTTTGAGCTTTACATGTATTTAGTATCAAATTTTTACGCAAAACTCCGAGCTTTTTTGAAGTTTTTGAAAAAAGCATCTTTATATCGTTGAAAAAATACGATTACCTATAAAAGCTTTATTTTTCAAGATATGGGTKTGAAAGCTTTCCAAACTATCTAACATATTGTATGAAAGCTTAATTTTTCCAAAGGTCTGGAGATTTTTTTAAATGCTTCCACGAAAAGCTTCATAAAACGCAATTTTCTAAAAATAGTTTGCCCTCTTAATTCTTTTTGAAACTCAAAAAGAGCGCATTATATTTTTTATAAGAAAAATATTATTACTATAAATATATCAGCCACCGCTCTTCAGCGAAATCGATACAAACAGCTTTTTGTTTTTTATTTTTTTATTTTTTTCGTAATTTTTATTTTTGCTTAATTTATGTATGTAAGTATATATAATTAGTTCTCAACCTCGTTAGTTGTCTTTCGTTATCATTTTAAATTTTTTTCTTTCGCGTTTTCGCTTTCGCTTTTGTCTATACCAAATTGAAAACTGCATATCAATACAAATAAAGAGCTGTGCTATTTTGTTAATTATCTCCCTCTATATATATCTTTATCGTTTTATTTTTGTATATTTAAGAATTGTATGCTTGARGGTTTATATAATTTTCAAAGTGTGTGTCTGGGTCTTTTAAGTATATAGTTCATTGTAGGTATATAATCTAATAATTTCTCCTTACTAATACAATAATGATAACACTATGTATATCTGTATATAATAAYAAAAATAATAATGATAACTAAAAACATATATACGATCACGTACAAAGATGCGAGTCTGTTTTAAGTTAATTAAAATTCGAAGGCATGTTAGCAGCGGACGAGTGAGTACATCACATAAATAGTGTGTGCAAAAAGTATGAGTATGAGCAATACGAACTGTCGGTTTTGCTCGAAATAATTCGTTTTATTTTAGAACAGCAATAAAATTTCAAGGTTTTTAAACATTATTTAAGAAAAAAACTCTTATTAGTTCGAAAATTAATTCACAAAAAAATTCTAATAATTTTGAAAATTCATTTTCGAATCGAAGTCATTGCTGTGTTGTTAAGTCTGGAAGCGGTGTGTAGGAGTTGCTCTACTATTATTTAATACTGAAAAAACAGCGTTATTTCAAAAAGCGTTATTTCAATTCGGAAAATTTTCGTATTATGAAATCAAACCGCTCAGATTTATAAATAACGCATGTGAACACTCAAACAGTTGTTTACGAGAGACGAAAGTCAAACAACATTATTAGTTAATATTCGAAAAAAAAAATTTCTTCCATGAACCGGAGTTTTAGAAATTTTTGCATTATTCGAATTTAAAAACTATTTTTTCGAAAATAAAATAAATAATAA